GCAGTAGGCTAACTCGTTAATGGTAAACATGTGAGTTTGTTAATAAACCAGCAGCACAACAGTGATAAACAATTTTTGCGAGGTAACGCAAAAGAAAAAAAATCCCCCATGTCCCCTCGCGGGCTCAGTACCCTCTACACTAGATACAACAGCTACATGACAGATATTTACTTAGTTTTTTCTCTGATTGAACATCTTTTATTGGTAAATGTGAACCCCGCCCCCACTCGTCAGTCATTTGGGGAGTGGCCAAACAGGTGCCACCCCTCAGGCTCCGCCCCTGGAGATCACCAGAGTCAGGTTCCTCTTTCTCTGGGATCTGAAGCAGTCTAACGGTAACAGTTATCTGTCAGGTTCAGACTTTGTTCGTGTCTGAATAAAGACTAGCTCCTGGACATGATTTAGTGAGAAATCTGCATTTTAACCCATTAAAACTGAAAAGTATTTGCTGCTCCAGCCCTGTCAGACGTGTCTCTGAGGACGGAGTGCTTTCAGCATCATGTSTGTCCTCAGGTCTGACGGTGCTGCAGAGGATCCTGGACACGGCGGCGGAGCGCAGTTGGCAGGTCACCTCCGTGAACCTGGACACGCTGACCAAGCCGGCCTTCATCAAGATGCTGGCCGACCTCGACTACAAGAAGGAGTTCCAGATCATCATCGACTGTGAGCTGGAGTGCCTCAACTACACCCTGAACCTGGTAAAACTGTCCAAGCCACACTGCTTCTGATTAAAGAGTTAATATTCAGCAGCTCAGACCCGCAGCAGGTGGCAGACACACAACAACTGGCCTCTTGTAACAAAAGTGATGAGTTTCTTTTGAAAACGATGAAACAAAGACAGAAAAGCTGCTCTCACCACTTCTTCAGTCTGTTTGTCGTCCTCTGGTCTGTTTGGGGGGCTGCTGTCGTCTGCAGCTGTTAGCAGCCCATTAGAGGCGGTGTCGGTCCCACAGAGCTGTCGAACAAACACACAAAGGAGCTGTGTTTCCTGTCAAAGCACCAGTGCAATGTGTGTTTGCTTTTAGCTGCTCCRACACTTCAGTTCACAGACAAACCACAACATCTCTGCTGCTCTGAAGCCAACATGAAGCAGGACTTCAGAGGTTTGATTAGATGAAGAGTTCAGAGGACAAAGCTTTTAGCTACAATATGTAAAAACTGGCTTTTAATGTTTGTCAGGATCTTTGTGATTCCTGTTTTATTCACCTGCCTGTGTGCAGGTAAAATAAAACATTATTCAGCTCACTGCTCTCAGATTTAGCTCATTTTTACTAAATCTTGAATTTAAATGTTAAATGTTGTGTCTAAATGTTAAATCCTAAATCTAAATATTTAAATATAAAAGTTAAATCTTAAATGTTAAAGTTTACATTAAAGATGATAAGAATGGAACAGCCTTTACAGCTGGGGTGTGGCTTTGGTTGTGATGTCATCATCCTGAGACAAAAGCAAACATTGATGTTGCTAACGCTGCTAATGTTGCTAACAAAGCTAACACTGCTGATGTTGCTAACACTGCTAATGTTGGTAACAAAGCTGACACTGCTAATGTTGCTAACACTGCTAACGCTTCCTTAAAAGACAGAAAACTTGTAGTTGCAGCTGGTGTCTGAGCTGCACTTCAAACTGGTGGACCACAGGGACCACCCATGTTGTTTTCAATGAACACATGAATTTAGAGTTCAAATACCATCTTCAGCAGTATTATCAGTGTTAGCATCATTAGCAATGTTTTCAGCGTTAGCAGTGTTAGCAACATTAGCAGTATTAGCAGCATTAGCAGTATTAGCATTGTTAGTTGCATTAGCATTGTTAGCAGCATTAGCGTTGTTAGCACATCAGCAGTATTAGTAGCATTAGCAGTATTAGCATTGTTAGCAGCATTAGCATTGTTAGCACATTAGCAGCTTTAGTAGCATTAGCATTGTTATCAGCATTAGCAGTGTTTGCAGTGTTAATGGTATTAGCATTAGCAGCACTTGAAGCTTTAGCATCGTTAGCCGTGTTAGCAGCATTAGGAGTTGCTGTTCTTGCAAAATGATGACATCACAACAAAAGCTGCTTCCCAACAGAATGTGTAGCCTTAACGTTTAACTGCAACATTTAAGATTTAACTTCAAGATTTAGATTTAAAATTTCATATTTACATGTATTATTTAACATTTACATTTAACATTTAGTAAAAATAGCTAAATGTAAAAACAGTGAGCTAAATAACAGTAAAATGTTAGTGGAAGTGTTGAACAAGGATTTTACAGCAGAGAAGCTGAATTAAACTGTTAGTCTGCCCCGCCCACTCTCACCTGTTCCCAGGTGTTTGCTGTTGTTCATCAGTCCTGTTCGTTTTTAGACAATCGTTTCTTCCTCATGTAGACACTAAATATTGTCCGGTTCGCTTCACGTCTCAGTGGTTTCTCCACTTCCAGCTGTTTGAACGTTTTAGCTGCACGTTTGTTTTTTAGTAAATAAGTTTTAGTTGAAGAGATTTTGTTCGGTCTGCATTCTGGGTCAGAACCGTCCACAAACTGTGGTTCTGCTGGGAAACACCTGCAGCAGGAGCTCCTCCTCTCACTGATCGGATGAAGACAGATTTTTAGAAACATCGTTTGTCAAAGACGACATTTTTTTACAACCTCACTGAAGTGTTCAGGAGCATTTAGAACGTGCACGTGTTCACGGTGAGCGTGCACGTGTTCACGGTGAGCGTGCACATGTCCATGTGAACCCATCGTCCTGCACCAGTGGTGCTCACCGACACTGAAGCACATTAGTCTCCTGGTTGATTCCAGGCTCTGCTCAGAGCTGAGAGCAGCTGGGTGTTTGTGCTGAAGCGGGGGGAGCAGTGGATCCATCAAAGCGACAGGAAGCTGGTTTCTGAGGAAACACGAGGGTTTGGATCATTGTGAAACAGGACAGGGACACGCTGACACCTGCTGTCATCTGGGAAGAGTCCCTGAAACTGGTCCTGCTGCTGGAACCAGAGCCTCAGGTGCTGTTCTGATCTGTGAAATGAAACTATCAGGTGGTGTTGGACCCGGCGCCRCTCCGCTTCATTTACCTTGGATGTGAGGTAAACCTCAGGCGGCTCTCTGACTCGGACTGTGTGACGATGAGTCGAGGCAGAGCTCTGAATATTACAGGAGCAGGGTTTTATCGAGCTGATCAACAGAAACTGTAGAAAGATGAGGTCAGGAGTTCACTGGAGGGGCCACAGATGYTCAGAGGGTCTCTGCAGTCACTAAGTAGGAGGAGTTTACCCAAGATGTGATTGGWTGGATTCACCAGGAAGCACCTATATTTATTTAAATATAGAAATGAATTTAACCGTAACATGAGACAGGAAGGTGCTGCACAAAATTTGAAGTCAATAAATTGTGTTTAAATGTTCACAATAATTTAACTTTGAGTCATCGTTCTGTTTTAAACTGTTCAGAGACTGTCAATAAATAATATTAATTTAATATCATTAATAACTCTTTTAAGTTGCCCCACAAGACCTCAGCCAATCACAGGTAGGGCAAGCTCCTGATTGACAGGTGAACAGTTTGTACAGGTTAACAGTTTGTACAGGTGAACAGTTTGTACAGGTGAACAGTTTGTACAGGTGAACAGTTTGTACAGGTGAACAGTTTGTAC